TTATATAACTATTTCTTTTAATATTTGTTTTTTTTTATATTCAGTGGACGGTAAATTCGGTTGAAGTATCAAAAAAGTTTAGAATTTATCAAATGAATTTGTTAATAAGTATTAAGGAAGGAAGAAAAAAGTTAACATGGAATGATACGATCGAAATATTGTATGTATTTATAAATATTTATTCCTCTAGTCATATCGGAATTGGCCTAAATTAGGGTCTATAGATTTTAATAATGCGATTGTAAAGCTGACCCTAAAATTTCAGCTACGTATTGTGTATTCTGCAATTGTTAAATCCAGGGACCCTAATTTAGATTCGATTCCGCAATATGTATTCATAAAAATATACTGAATTTATTCTTTCTATTCATTTTAGAGCTCTTTTATCGATAATGATAATGTGTTTTCTTTGCCCTTACTCGACATTTACTACCTCTGAATGGATAAAAGTTTTGGATTCAAATCCGTATAAAGTTACAAACCCTATTTTAACAAGTTCACTTACTACCTCTTTATATGAGGCAACCCACAACTTTTCACTTGGGCTAAATTCCAAATTTACAAATAACAATGAATCTGATGAATTATGGGAGAAAGCAAACAGAATTTTTAACAATATGTAATCTGTTTTTTATTACAAGCAATAGTTGAAAAAAACTGATGATTTACAGTATTAAATTTTTTACATGTTTTAGGAAGGAAGACGCGCACCAAGATATATCTGTAGATCCGTTTGTAAGCCCATTTTTTGGAAATGGATTTAAGCCATAACTTATGTTTTAGAAAAAGCAACGAACGGAAACTTCAGCTGCATAGTCGATGATATCACAGTGTTAAATTCTGAGATTAAGCCCTTAGGGTGCTCTCCATTAAAAGCAAAGAAAGATTTTATCAAAGTGCATCTCAAAGGCAAGAAGTCAATTAACCAATTTTATGAAAAAGGAGGCCCCAGAAAAGCATTGGCTTTTTTGAATATAGGTATGTATTTTTTTCATAATTATTTATTTGTTATTTCACAGTGCATAATTTATAAAATTTATTTATTAAACAATTTAGCTGATACCATTGAATCATTTTTCATCGATTTGGAATACGATGGAATATATCGATCGTGGCCAATTCTCAAAAATAAAATAGCGACGGATGAGGGATCACTTCCATTAATGGTATTAACCTTTTCGCATTTTTTGAAATTAGAGGTAAGAAGTATTTATTTTTGTCAAACACTATTATAATTTTTTAAATATTAAATTCTTTCATATTTTATTTGTAGCAATTTGTTTGTGAAATTGCAAATGAATATGAAAGTCGACCATCACCTGGTAGTTATACTACCGCAACAGATTAAATCTAATTTTACAAGAAAATTGGCAACTTCGCCACGATTATTGAATCTGTGAAAATTTTTCATAATAAAATAATTGTTATGGGATACATTTGGACATCTTTTTCGTTCATATAATCTTTGTAATGGTGATTCTAGATCAAATTTCAAGATTAAACAAACATCCCGCAATTTTAAAAACTCTAAAAGTCGTTTCAGCTCCAGTGTTTCTTTTGTTTCTTATCATATCTTAGAACTAGCGATTTAACTGATTGGGTTTTAATCGGGTAATCGAACAAAATTCATCCAACCGATTGAGTAAAGTTCTTAATCAGTTAATCCGGTGCAATCGGTTGACTATCGGTTACCGGCTAACTGATTATTATAATACGTATAATAGATATTGACGCCAAAGAAAAAGCAAGACTTTAATATAATTTGTTGATTTGCATTATCTATTTAAAACTCGTATTTTCTGTGCAATTTGTATTATTCGAATAATGTGAATAACTATGTCATTATAATACAAGAGGAATTGAAATTGAAGAAGATGAACATAAAGCATTTGAATATTTTCAAAAGCTGCTAATTTAAATTTTTCGACAGATTAAATGGCATAGTTCAAATACCACTCAACCTGCTATTCAAAATGTCGATAATTTCGATTCGATTTGGTTAACCCGGTTGATATTTTTTAGGTCTGGTTGACGCGGTTAAGCTGGATAGGGTTAGGATTTCTAAATAAAAATGTTCAGAACCCCCAAAAACCTTATACTAACTAAAATTTAAACAAATATACCTAACCTTAACCTATAGGGGCAAAATTTTAGCAAAAAACTATATGGGGTTTTTTCTTTGCCTTGCGGGGCTATGTAGATTTTATGAATAAAGATTAAAATTTCTAGCTATCCAGTAATCCAATTCAAATAGCTTTTTTTTATATTGTAGAGCTTAGTGATTTCTACAAAATAAAAAAAAAATTTAAATTATTTGAATTGGATTATTAGATGGCTAGAAATTTGATTTTTATTCATAAAATCTACATAGTCCCGTAAGGTCATTTTCAAAGACACCTACGGTGAGAATTAGCAAAATTCTTTTTTTACGTATTATCTAAAAATTTACAAATTCATTATAATAATATATTTATATATATATAATTTAAAATTGTATTTTTAAAAATGATCAAGATATTGATCTACTGACAGTATTATGAAAAGATCAATCGAATATAAAATATTAGTGTTGGTAAAAGTTTCCAAATATGCCATAATACATCATTTAGAAATATTATTACTAATATCCAATTGACATAAATATTTGTTTACTTTCAACATCGAAGTGAACACCATACCACCCTCGGATCTGATATCATTATCAGAAAGTATGAAATTTGTAATACATTTGTCAAAATAATAGAATCTTCTCTAATGCTGTAATGTATTATTAACTCTGAGAGCATCTACAATCTTTTGATACCATCTCCAAGAATTATCACTAATATTTAGCCTTTTGATAGTTTTGTTAGCTTCTAGTAAAGTTTTAAATAGTGATCATAATTTTCATTAATTGAATTTCCACATAATAATAAATCTCGTAAAACAACTTGTTCAGACAAGAATCCATTTATATGATCAATAGTTTTAATGGTGATTTTCTTTTGAATTGGCATATTTTGATTAATTATAATTTTCTTGCGATGAATACAATTCAAAGACAACGTTTCTAAACTTGTATTTTCATCGATAATAATAATCCGCTTGCTGAATTGTATATAACATTTGAAATAGATAAAAACTTGAGAGTTTGTGTATTCTTGACAGCATCTAACTTAAAGTCTGTACCAGAAATCTTTAAACCCACTAAATTGCTATCCAAATAAAATATTTGTATAAATTTTTTTTTTATTCCTGATCTTCATAAACGTACGTTTCAAAAATCATGTGGTATTGTCAATTCATCGTGATTAGGATCATGATAATAATATTTAATAAAGTATGAATTGATTTAGTAAATGATTTTGTTTTCTTCGATTCTTCA